TTTCTCTTAGGAAAGGCCTTTGAGATAATTGTGATATTAAGTTTATTAATTTTGTTAGCTTGGTTTTGAGACGATTCTAGGTCTAACACCGGTCATAACCGGTCATAACCGTGACCGATATCGGTCAGTCAAAGGCTTCTGACCGACCAACCACGGCCGACCATTATCATCCCTAAGCAAAGCACTAATCATAATATTAAAATAATAAACAATGATGTTATTCGATAATTGTCAAGAAAGCCAGATCCACCATGATTGGTGTAAGCCGTGTAATTCTAATCATTTCAAAGTGATTTTGGACGAACGGAAATAAGGACGTTGAACAATTAATCAAAAGGATACAATTAAATTCTGGAGATAATCGAAAGGATCGCAGAAAATCGATTGAAAATTCAAGAGTATGTAGGAAATGGTAGATTTGGAGTATAAGACGATTTGGAAAGATGGGTATATTGGATATTGGAATTATAAGGAAATGTGTTGGGAAGATGCAAAGAAAATTGCGTCGTTTCAGTTAAGTGTTTTGATGAACCTAAAGGATAATTGGATTTTGAACCAGGTATAACGAAACCTTTTCTTATTGTTATTATTTTTTTATTTAAACGAAAAAATAATATAAATTATCGTGCTCGCCAGTATGATGTAGACGATCTTGTTTTTTAATATTTTTTGTAATATTACAAATAAACTACAAATTAAACTTTTTATATCGATAATAAACTATATAATAATATATATTAAGCTAGTGATAAAATACATAATATTTTTATACATTCGTTAATTATTAGCGTTAGAATTATTAAAAATAATTATAGAATTAATAAAAACTTTATCGGCAGTCATTTTTGAAACTAATTCTTCTAATCCTTGCGGATGATTTTGTTGATCTTGAATTTTATTTAATTCTTGAAGTGGTTGCCGAAATAAATCTTTATCATTAGAATTATTTGTTGCAGTATCAATAATCTATTTTTTTTAAAAATAAATTAATAATTCTTAATTAATAATAATGAAAAAATATATAATATGAAATTTACCATTAATGAACGACTTTGCTAATGTTAATCTATCTTGCATTGTTGTAGGATAGTTTGAAGATAATAAGAGATTGAAGTCGATAAAGAATTTGTTGATGCTATTTGTATAATAATAATAAAATTAATATTTTAATAATTTTAGAAGAATAAAATATATTATACATACTTGTTTTATTATCGTTAACTGTGGTTTTAAATCCAAATGTTTGAGCAAGTTTCATTGCATTATTATATTGCATTTCAGTTTCTGGTCGCTCATATCTTGCCAAACCTTGTTCAGATTTATGTCTTGAACTTGCCATACATTCGGTATTAGAAAAATTTAACCTTTTTAATATTTGAACAAGAGTTTTTCGTCCTGAATGATTACTAATTTTACGATCATCAAAATTAATACCCGTATAGGTAGCTATTTGTTTCATAAATAATTTAAGTTTTTTTTCAGAAATCCAGTCTTTATAATACCATTGTCTATTGAATTCAACTATATTAAAATTTTAAATTAAAAAATAATTATTTTAATAAAATATAAATTAAAATTAAAACTATTTATACATTCATTAATATTGCATAGTTTCAAATAAAAATTTGAGCTTGCTTGAACTGGACGCTTAGTAAAATATTTTTCATACATTTCAATAATTTCAGGTATTTCAGGAATAAATAATTTTTCACCTTGTGATTCAATATTATCAACACCACGTTGATTAGTTTTAGATTTATAAAGAATTACTTCAAATCCTTTATAGAAATCATTTTTTCGTGAAAAACTATTATATTGTAAATTAATGTGTTCACAACCACGTAATCCTAATAGGATTGCATTAAAAAAAAATACCCAATATAATAAACCAGTTGGAGTATTCCCAGTCATAATTGGATGATTCATAATATGTAAAATTTCCTCATCAGTAAAACCTGTACTTCCAATACGTTCTGCAAGACCTTGATTAGCTAGATTTTTTTACTTACCATTAAAAACTTGCCATAGCTTATAATATACTTTTTTGTCTAAAATATTGATTGGCTTAGGAAGTGTTGATTTTTCATTCAAATGTTAATTTAAAGCATGGAGACAATTATTAACTGAGGAAGCATGATACTCAGTTCTATCTTGCTTTTTTATTTGCATGATGCAATAAAATTAAATAACTCACTTCCTAGTTATTTTAAATTATATTTAGTAGAAATTTTAAATATAAAATAAATTAATCATGCAATAAAAATCAAATAACTCACCGCCTAAATTTTTAAATATCGAAATAAATAATTTAAATTTAAAATTTATTCAAAGTATTATAAACTATTCTCAATGAATGATAAAATAAAAATCAAATAATTCACCTGCTATATTATCAAATAATAATTTAAATTTAAAATTTTGTCAGAGTATTATAGTCTATTCTTAATGAATAATGCAATAAATCAAATAACTCACGCACTATATCATCAAATATTGAATTATTTTAAATTAAATTTGTTGTAATTCAAATATAAAATAAATTAACATTAATAATACAATAAATAGATAATTTTAAATTTAAGTTTAATTTTATAATTTTATATAGATAAATTAATCAAATAACTTACTAACTTTTTTGACAATACAAATGAGTAATTTCAATAATCAAGATTTATAATTAACGTCAATAAATGACAGTAGAAATAACTTAAATTTTATGCATATAAATATTGTCCTTACCTATGGATGTAGAAGTTTCGGGAGTCTCGAAAGTTTCTAATTATTGTGAATTATTTTATTAATGGCGCGCCTCGATTATATGAATAATATTACGAGAATACCTTTTCCTATTATAAATCTTATATTTAAATTTAATGAATTAATATTAGTTGAGAGAAGCAAATATTGAATAATGCTTTAATTGAAGGAAAAAAAATAAAAGTTTTCCTAAAAAAAAAAAAGATTTTAAATAAATATATTGCAATGTAATAACGTAATACATAAAATAATTATTCAGATTTTCTTTATTTGGGTGATACCCTAAATTGGAATGTTTGTATTACATTATTACATTGTTCCATTTTTTTTAAAAAAAAATAATTTGAAATGTTAAATATGATCATTTTAATAATATTCCAGTCGAAGGCATTTAATAACTTACCTGATAAACTATAGTGAAATTTGTTAACCAAAATTATTCAATTCGTTCAATTCATCACCTTTATCGTTAATTTTTGAATATTCAAACTTCCACAATAGTACCTATATGAATAGTTATTTTAATCAAAAGTTCGAGATTAAATATTGTATGCTTTGCTCGTAAAAAAAAAAAAAATCCATGAAAATCAATCTGTAACTTGATCTTCCAACCTGACACAAATAGTATATATCGGTCAATAATTAAAATATTTAAAGGAAAAAAAATGTTGATACCTCAATATCGAAATAGGCGCCGTCGGTGGAGTTTTCTAATTATAAAAAGAAAATCAATAACAAAAAAAAATTTTAATGAAAATTAGTTTCACTTTACAGAAATGCCTGTATTTCGTTTTGCAACTAATTTTGACGTTTTTATGTTGCTGCATATTAAATCGTAACTTTTGAAAATTTTTAATTAACATACGAACAGGTAATAAAGGGTAATATAAGTTCAAAATGACTTTCAGATAAATAAAATAACCTAATTATACATTCGTGTTTTTAAATAGGTTTTGATATTTTAATAAATAATTTAAAAAAAAGTTCCTGAGAACTTAGAATGGATAGATTATATAAAAAAAATTAATTAAAAAAGACATGAAATAATATTAAGGTAAGTAAATAATCGAATGATTAGATTTTTCAAATTAATTAACTTTCATAAAGTAGCTTTTTATTTTGAAATTTTATTTTTTCTAATTATCTTAGAGATTAGTTGTTTTTGGGTTCGATCGCATCAGGCCGTAGCTATCGACTGCTTCAACTTTTGATACCAATAATATTTTTATTTTTTTGTCTTACTTTTAAAAAATAATCAAAAGCAATGCTGTGACAACAATAAGCCTCAGGCCTTCCTAGTTAATAAACAAATTCATTTTACTGAATATTCAATAAATATGAATGAAGTTTTAATAAAATATATATAACAAATAATAAGTTTTATTACATTAACGTTAATTCTTATATATATTTTTTACATTATTCGTATTCATCATCATTGTTATTTTCTAAATATATTCAATATTTTAGCAAATAATCATTTTAGAATCAAACGCAAATAATACATAAATTCCTTGTCTCTATAGTGAAACGGATGATGTTACTGAATTTGGAAAAAAGTTTTCTAAGTCTGGCTTCCGTGGCGTCTAGGGGAATTTTCGTGACCGTGATCGGCCGATCGGACTTATGGTGCAGATATTTTTATATCTAATGGTTGAAACGTGGTGTTTTGTATATGGGATTATATTTGAATTGACTTGAAGAAATCCAATGATTTACCTGATATCCAACGCGCGCTTGGTAATTATAACATAGCAATTATAATGAATTATGATACGTCTACATATGAAATGTTAGTTATAAATTTTGTATAAATTTAGTTAGTGTATTCTTATTAGAGCCAAGGGTTTCGTGCAATGCAAAAATAAAAAATATGCATTGTAAAATTATCAAAAATGCAAAATATGCAAATAAAAATTTTTATATAGTAAATATAAATATTTTAAATTTTATTGATTATTACAAATAAAATAAATTTAACACTTTCTTGCGTCTATCATCCAAAAATTCTTTAATTATTAAGATTGATAACTACATAATTGATGCTACTCTTGATAAATTTGGAATTCTTTTTTTTCTTGCCAATATTGATTTAAATCCAAATCACGCTCCTCAAAATTTCTACCAAAACCATTTAGTTATACTACATGATTGCAAAATTTTCGTTTTCTAAACGAAAATGAATTTGATAATTAGAACCCTTCGATAATCTCCCCAATTCTGAATCATTTTGTAAAAAAAAAAGAGAATTCTTTAATTATCTAAGCAAGGTTACCACCCATTAGAATCGATCATATAAATGATAACTCCATGAAAGTTTGGGCATATGAATTATTGTGATTGAATATCGGCTTAGTTAGATTCATTGCATCCGATTTGTCAATAATAAACCCCTTCGATGGCGAGAAAAGTTCCTTGAAATGTCCATAGTTATAAATTGTAATAACGAAGGAATGGTCAGATATATTGACATCGAGTTCACTTGATAAAGTTCATTGAAAGATAATTTTATTAATTGAATTTCATTTACTTTGTGAGAAACTTTATGGTGTCGCGTATTTATATTCAGGAGTTCTAATCTAATGATAACTCCTAATCTGATTTTTGGCTATAGAAAAAGATTATGATGAGGAAGGTAGATGACAACCAATATTTGATTCCAGTCAAACAACAAATTCTTTGTGAGGAAACTATCATTTTATATACTTTGAGCAAGGGCCAATAAGAATACGTCTGATATTATACGTCATAAAGTATAAAAGCAAATTTGTCATGTAACATTTAACGTTAATTAATAGTGGCTTCAATAATTGATAATTCCAACTCTTAAATACTAATTTGAATGTAATGATATTATTTTCTTTAAATGTTATTAATTAATTAATAAAAATATGTGCATATTGGATATATCCATTTTATTCTGTATGTTCTTGGTCGGGGGGGGGGGGGGTAGAACGATCGCTCGAAGACATGTATAGGTCCATATATCAAACTTAACAACGTTTTAAATTTTAAATTATAGTTGCGGGGCAAAACCCTTAAACCCATTTTGGCAAAAGTCGAAACTTTTCAGAAAAAATTTCGACAGTTTCGATGGGTTTCGATGGGTTTCGACAGTTTCGATAACAACTTTGCGAATTTGACGGTTTAACAAGTTATAGAAACGATTTTTGATTTTTTGTTTTTTATTTTAAATTAAAACAAAGTCATCATATTCTTCATAAGGTAATTGTTTCTAATTCTTCAACAGGTATCAGTGCTTCCAATTTAAAACCTGCTCGATAAATAATGTATTAGAGATTGGAACCGGGTTTATTTTTATATACGGATTTATTTAATTTTAAAAATCGGATCCGGATTTAAATCCGAAAACTGTGCAGATCAAATAAAGTTTTTTAAAGCTTAATAAATTATACACCCCGCGGATATCTGGGTTTAAACCAGAATGTCGAATCCGATTACAACCTTTAGATGATTTTTCAAATGAAAGTTTAATGGAAGAAAATAAGAATATTGTCATGAGTTTAAATGAAGAAAATATGGGAAATAAAATGATATATCGATATGTAAATTTTTTGATTATTTTTTTATCTAAAAAGAAAGTGATATTTGCTATATACGATTTGCTCATCTCGTTATACGAAAATAATAAATTTAAAAATTATAAAATTTGCATTTTAGTGCAGAAGGTTTCGATGGGTTTTGCCATCCGTCGAAACTTTCGCAATTTTGCCTTTAATAAAAATATTTGGCAAAACGTTTCGAAGGGTTTCGATTTCGATGCCTGTCGAAACCTCCGGGTTTTGCCCGGCAACCTTATTTTAAATCAATGTAAAAAAAATTTATTTGCTGCTCAAAGCAGGCTTATTTATTAGCAACAACTATTGAGTAATATATTTTTATTATTTTAGAACCTCAACCTAGTAAAGTCATATTGACCATGATAATATTGGTTTGTTATAAATTCACATCTCTTATACGTCTGATGAGTTCTGGTTGCTAATTTTTTTAATCTTAAATTCCCGAGTTATCAGTCATATTTTCAATATTCACTGTTATGATACACGGCATAGTCAACACTACAAAAACCAAGTGGTATTTTCAAACGACTGAGCCGTGACTGGGTCAGAACATAGTGAAACCCAATTAAATAA